AAGTGTGTGTAAGTTAGAGTAGAGTTGTAGTGTGTAGAGCTGGGTACCTTGTACCTGCGAAGGAAAAGGCGCCTTATCCTGACGTGAAAAGTTGACGTGTATATGTATGTATGTATGTATGTGTGTATGTATATATATATATATATGTATATATATATATATATGTGTATATATATATATATATATATTCTTAATTTGTTCCTCTCTAGGAATCGGTTGTCAACGATATATGGTAAACGTAACCTGGGACGAGGCACGTACTTTCATTTGAAGGGCTCAAACAGAAATGGGCATACAGTCCCGTTCCCTCGCGACCCGATCTGTCAAGTCGAAAGAAGGGCCTCGAAGATCCTTCACAAAGAGCATGGAGTGAACGTTTTCTAGAGGCGAGGATCTTTATTATGATTGGATTAATCGGTCAATTATCGATCAAGTCTTCAGTGTATCAGCTTTTTGATCGCGTACCTCCAAGGGAAAACGCCTGGCTGAGAAAGGCAGGCTTTTGTTTGCCTTTCTTCCACCTGTTGTTTCTGTTACTTATAACAACGCACATTTCATTTAAACTGACGAAATGTTCGGATTGTCTTATCATTGATACTTTAAAAAACAAATGTTGTCAAATACTTTTTTTAGCTTGGAATTCGATTGAGGTATCTTCCGCAACAGGTGTCCGTAGACGTATCATGCCTCTAATTTCCGAATCTACTGCCATACTAGTTTACAACACCTTAATACAACCTCACTTTGATTACTGTAGCCTCGTTTGGGACGGCTTAAGTAGTAAATTGAGAAACAAACTACAACAATTACAGAGCCGAGCAGCTAGAACAATTTTAAAAGCCGATTACGATACTAGTTCAAACCTGCTTCTCGAAATACTTAAATGGGACAGACTAGAAATAAGGAGGAAGAAACAAAACAGTATATTGGTAGTTTTAACCGATTTAATATTGTAAATAGATAGATTGGGACGCTTTGTTTGACCTGAAGATTTTTTACCGAGTTTAAATAAAGATACTACCTCTACTACTTGAAATTTTCAACTCTGTAACTCTTAGAGAGGGATTATTGGAGGCTGGAAATTTGTCTGGAATTACGCTGGCCCTGAATGAGCTCATCTATTTTACCGATACATGTATATCGATCTCTGGGTGAGAGTGAGCTAAATAAAACTTAGCTTTATTACTTTATCGACAACCCTAAGGATCACTTTCGTGGACCTTTTGGTCACAACAGATGAAATCGAAATGAAGGAAACAGGAATAATTTTTAATTAGGTAAGCTGATAAATAAACACGCACCAAAATATTTTGTGAACGAACTAATCAGGGAAAGAAATGTGGGCATGAGATTTTTATTGAATTTGTAATTATCTGAAAGGAATCAGTATGCAGTTTTCTTAGCTTTGTCCATTCGTCTCGTAGAATAATTCAGTTTGGACACAACATTCTCTATTATGATAACAGTGTAGGAAACATTTGTAACAAAACTCAGCAGAGAGTCAGTGAAAATTCGGGAAAAAAGTGTGTACGTCTTTTTAATGATCACATAATGCCATGATTGACCGTTTTAACTGAGGTACTCTTGATTTTACTGATTGACGCGATTAATATATCAGGATCTCGATAAACAGGGAAGAAAAAGAATCTATCATAGAGTGGTTCGCCAGAGGCGTCATATATTCATTACCTTAAGATCCTTGCCAACAATAAAGCTTAGGGCGATATTACAACATTCTTGCCCATCTCCGTCTGTTGCCAAGATCTAAAAGGTTTTAAAGCAGGACCCCTTCTCCCCTGTAACACTTGGGAATTCTTTGTTCAGGGTTACCTTTATCCAACGTCCCGAAAGCTGTTTTATTTCTTCAAATGATGTGTAATACAAGTTCTGTTTGGTAATTGCATGCCTGTTTAGAAAATACGTACGGAAAGCACAGATCTCTTCTTATTGCCTGATTTCATGGCGCGCGGGAGACTGGCACTACCGGATTTTTGCGGACT